CCCCAGCACAGATTTTCCTGCCCCCGCCCCTGCACACAGAAGGGGGATGGATGGCTGCCCCACCCAGGCCGCAAGGCCACGCTCCCCCAGGGCACAGAGAAAAAAGAGGCTTTTTCATGGCCACCCCCTGAACATCAGAAATCGACAAGTATTCTCTCAAAAGGAAAAAAAAAAATACAGAAATCAATTAAAACATTTAAATATGAAAAACCAAAAGGGAACTGGGTGGGGAGAGGCAAGAGAGGAAAGGAATGGGAGTTTCTTGGGAAGGAAGGGTCCCCCATGTCCCCACGCCCATTCATAAACGGGCTTGAGGCCTGGGATCCGAGGCTCACACAGTGAGTTTGCAGTGACACAGCTCCTTGTAGATCTGCCGACGAAGTTTGGGCATGTCCTGCTGGGTGAAGCTGAACGGCTGGGCCAGCGCCAGGTGCTTGCAGTACTGGGTGTTAACAAAGCAGGCCGTGAGCATCCCCCACCCCCCAAGTCAGGACCTGTGCTAGCCCCTTCGCGTGAGTGAGATCCACCTCCCTGGAACTTTCAGAGAACATCCACATTTCACAAAGGGAGCCAAGGTGCCCCAGCCTGGGGCTCAAAGTCTAAAATCACTGCTCTTGGTACCTGAAATACCCGGTGTTAAAATACTCTGCATTGGCGGTTAGGAGGCCACTCTTCTTAGGGCCAGAAACCAAGGAGCAAGAGACCCAGTCCCGATGTGGGACGGGGAAGCCAGGAGAGCCGACGAAATCCACGTTTGCGCTTTCTGACACCTAAGGTTACTCTCTGCTCCACAAGGGGCTGTGAGCAACGGGGCGGGGGCGGGTTGCAGAACAGCCTCCCTCCTCTTGCCCAGCCCTTTAACCCAACTGCCATCTGCTTACCTGTAACACAAAGGCACCGCAGTCACTGTCATTATTCTGCCTGGCCACATTCTAGAAAAGGAGAAGAAGGCAGGCCCTTCGTTTGGAGGCTCCTAGGGGTGTGGCCTCAACTTCTGCCTCCTGCCTTCCCTCTATCACCACCCCGTACTCCTCCCTCTAGAAACTTACCATTTTGAAGTAACCTTTCCAGCCCTGGTGGAAATCCAGCCGGTCTTTCTTCACGGCCTCTGCCTGTAGGTACTTGGCAATATGCTGTGCAGACGGAGAAAGGGAGGGAGCGATGCCCGGTGTCTCCCACAGGAGCCCGGGGTATGGTGGTCACAGGCACCAAGCCCAGGTTTGCTCCTCAGAGGCCCCAGGCCCACCCTTCCGCCGCGAGTGCCGCCACTGGATTGCCTCCCCACTCTTCCCGCCTCCCTCCTTCCCACTCAGACCTTAGGGCAGCGGCGGTTCAGGGTGCGCTGCGAGTCAAAGTAGGTGATGGTGCGTCGCCTCACGTCAACCGAGATGAGGGACCAATGCACCTCCAGGTGGATGGGGATCAGCAGTAGCTCCTTATTGAAGATGTCCACCTAAGGGGGGCAGTGCCAGGGGTCTGGTCAGAGGGCACGAGAGTCCTGCCTACCGTCATGAGGGGTCTAGAGACGAGTGGAGGCGCTGGCAGGAAGCCGCATGGGAGGGCACAAGGCCCAGCCCTCCACCGGAAGGGGCGGTGTCAGAGCACACACCTGAGAGCCCAGGATGGCCCGGGTACTTTCCACACATTGAAGGTACCAGTGCTCAGGAGCGAAGAACCGAGGCTCAGCACTCTAGAGCCAGACTGCGGGGGTTTAGATCTAGCTCCTGCCTTTCCTAGCTCGTGGCCATGGGCGAGCCACTCTATACGCCTCAGTTCTCTTCACTGTAAAAGGCTGGAAACGACAGCCGCTACCTCCTCTGTTTGTTCTGAGAATTAAGTCACACCGAGGACAACGCTGGGTCCCCGGCAAGTGGTCGGTCAGTTACCACAACAATCCTCCGAGGAAGTTCTCTCCCTCGATCTAACGGAGGAAACGGCAGCTTAGAAGACTAGGCAACTCGCTGAAGGTCACGGAAGGGGCAGACGTGGGACTCAGATGCAGTATGCAGAGGCCAAGTTCTTTCACTGTAGGTCCCCCCACCTCTATCGGGAGCAGTAGGCCTGCCAGGTCGGGGAGGGTGTGAGCTCCTGAGCCTGGGGACAGAAACTAAGAAATGCTGCAGCCCACGGTCCTACCTCACTGTAGAAATTTCCTGGCCTTGGAATTGCAGGGCAGGGAAACTAACGAGAACTATCTTTTCCCCCTCGCCAAACGTGCTCTCTCCTGTCTTCCCCAGTAACGTCTGCTACAAACCCAGGCATCACCCTGATTCCGAGCTTTTCTTCGTTCCCTCGTCCAACCCGCCAGAAAGTACTTCGGTTTTATCTGCAAAACCCATCCTAGAGAGCGCTCCTGCTGCTCCCTCAGCATCCTGGTCGAGCGTCTGTCTCGCCTTCTTTGCTCGCCTCCTAGTTAGTCCGCCTGCTCCCACTCTTGCCCCACTTCCAATCTCCGTCAAAACAGGAGGCTCTTCCCAGCCTGCTTAAGGCTCGTCAACGGCGCCTCAGCGCACACGGTGACAGCGGCCTCCACGCCCCACGCGATCAGCCCTGGCCAAGCTTCTGATCATATTCCCCCCGCTCACCCTGCCCCAACCACACCAGACACTCCTGTGGGCCTTCTGGGCCCCCCACAGTCTCACCTTGTGTCCCATGTACTCGCCGTCCCCTTCGCCTAAACCACTCTTGCCCCCGAGCCACACGTGACCGGGCCCTCGTCATTCCAGGCTCAGAGAAGAGTGGCCTTCCCGGAGCCACCCACATTCCACGCCACTGCATCTCCCTTTTAATCTGTTCACGGTGCCTAACACTAGCTGAAATTTAACTTACTTATTCACACTCCACGAAGGCGAGAAGTCTTCCTTACTTAACACCGAGTCCTTGTTGCCCACGACAGTACCGAACACACAGAAGACCCATGTTACTTGAAAGACTGAGTGAGCAGCCTCGGGGAAGGGACTCCTAGAAAGCGGAACTCTAATCCTTTACAGGCAAGGCGTTACCCACATACACGTGAACTGGCAACTCACGTTTTTGGTCCACCTTTTCACCCCATCATAACCCTTGGTACGGAGTTTATCGTAGAAGAAACTGTTGAAGAAATGCACCTGTGCCAATGACACAAAAGAGCTGGATGGAGTTAAAAGAGCTTCAGGCCTCCCTGCCAAGTCTCCTCCGCCCAGTCCGCTCCATGTCACTGGGGCTCCGAGGGCCAGTTTCAACAACCTCCACTGCAATCCACTGGGGGCAGAAACCCAATTCTCTTCCTGCTGCCCCTCCCAACTGGTGGGGTGAGCCACAGGGAGAACCACTGCCGACTGGGGGGAAAGGAACAGAGAAGTTCAGGACCTAGGTTACAGGTTTGAATTTAACAGACAGCCTTTTACCACCTCTCCCCCAAACAAAGATCCTCCCTCCGTGAAAAGGGAAGAGATCAAAGGGAGTGCAAAAGCTGCTGGGATCTGCAGAAGTTCTCCTGGGGACTGAAGTACCCTGTCAGGCCTACCTTTTCAGGGACCGTGTCCATGACCAGGTCTCCATACATGTTCATCACCTGGGGAGAAGACGGGCGGCAACTTGCCATGGAGGGTGCAGCATGGGCACAGGGCTCCCCCGAGCAGAGGGCCCCAGACACCCTGCTCCCCAAATCCCCTTCGGGGCCCGTTTCTCCCTCCTCCTCACCTGGTCATTGAGCCAGTTCTGTCCGTACAGAGTCCCCAGATCGTCCATCGTCAGCACGTGCCGCTTATAGGCCACTCGGAAGCCCCTCACCATGGCGTTGCCTGGCATGCGCTGGTACGACTGGATGAGCTGCAGCACCAGGCCCTTCCTGAGTAGGCCAAGGGTGGAGTCACACAAGAGACGAGGGGGCTAGGGCATACAGAAGGACCTTCTACTGCCCAGAATCAGGATCTGTCTCAACTAGTCCCCATCGGGGCTCGCGTAGCCTTCCGAGGGCCTGCTGAAGGGCCCGCTCCTTGGAAGGAGGCACGTGAGCACGGGGCATATTTCAGGGGCCCGGGGAAGGACCGCCCCCATCTGCTTACAGGGGCTTCGCGCTTCACCTGCAGATTCCTCCCCCTCGGTCCCTGCTCCCTCCTCCTCCCCTGAGTCGGTCCCTCTGGGCAGCATTCTCTCCCGACCCCTGACCCCTAGGGCCCCTCAGGCCCCGGCCCTCTCCTGAGGACCCCCCTGTCCTGCCTCACCTGGAAGGTGTAGAGAACTCCTGCTGAAAGATGTCCTCCAGTTTCTCCACCACCTCATCAGTGCTGAGGGGAATGAGGCTGCCGTAAGTCTGAAGGAATTCATCCAAGATGCCTGAGCGGAGAGGGAGAGGAGCGTGTGAGGCCTCCACACTCCAACTTAGGAGCTGGCTGAGAGAAGAGAAGGCCCGGCCGTCTGGGCTCCCTTACTCTGCACGCAGGTCACATGCTCCTCTCGCAGGGGGCTGTGCTGGCCGGCCTTCTCCCCGGGCCGCTCCGCCTCTTCTGCGGTGCCCAGGTCTGAGCCCTGAAAAAGTTCCTGGGCCACGTGGTCCCCGATGCTGCACACATTGCTGATGAGGATGCTGGCGTCAGGGGGTGCCAGGCCTCGCTCCCCTTCTGGCCCAGGCGGTCCCCCAAAGCCATTGGGAAGAGTACAGGAGAGGAGGCCTACAGCGCAGGGGAAACAGGATGGGGATGAGAAATTGGCTAAGATCAAGGAACAGGGGCGCCTGGGTGGCGCAGTCGGTTAAGCGTCCGACTTCAGCCAGGTCACGATCTCGCGGTCCGTGAGTTCGAGCCCCGCGTCGGGCTCTGGGCTGATGGCTCAGAGCCTGGAGCCTGTTTCCGATTCTGTGTCTCCCTCTCTCTCTGCCCCTCCCCCGTTCATGCTCTGTCTCTCTCTGTCCCAAAAATAAAATAAAAAACGTTGAAAAAAAAAAAATTTTAAAAAAAGGAACAATGGTGAGATCAAACGATACAAATTCTAAGACCACGGGGAGGAACCGAAACGGAATCTCCCGATAGGAACTCTAGGGTATGGAAACCGTAAAGCGTGAGAGAAGCACGTCTAACAGGTTACAGAGGAACTGAAGAGAAGAGGTGCTCGTCACAGGACAGAAGCAAAAAAAGACTAAGACTCGGAGAGAGGCACACGTCCGAGACATTTACCACCACCGTATATACCTGGCACCGAGTACGGCACCCGGTGCACACCGAAGGCTCGATAAATACTCCAGGGACTGATAAAAACACAGCCCGACATGGTCTGCTTGCGTCCCCGAAAGAAACATTCCGAGTGCGAATGTCACACACGGCTATACAGGTGGTAACTGCAGAGAAATCCCATCCCAGCACTAGAGTGGCACCCTTCGCAGATGCACAGGCAAGGGCCCCTTTATTCGGAAAGGCCGAACGAAAAGGGAGCTTGCGCGGATAATAAGACTAACTTTTCTAAACCTAATCTCCCGTTCTCATCTGTACACAGGACGCCTACTCGGCTCGGGGACTCTGTCACCCGGCCTTGACCGTCTCCCCAGACTTAGATCTTGCTCAAAGTGGGGGCTTAAGACATTTCACAGCTATTCTGGACCCCCTCGCTCTGCCGTCCCACCTTCCTTAGGCCCGGCTCTCACCACAGCAAGAGGCTCCCAATCCTCCTGGATCTGAACCCTGCCCCCACCCTTCCCACACCCCATTCCCACCTTACCGGAGTCAGGGTCCAGAGGAGACTTTGGAGTCCACCTCAATCCATCTTCCTCCACTGGGGGCCCAGAGGACATTGGTGGAGACCCTCTCACCCCGTCCTCAGCCATGAGAGCACCTAGCAGACCGAGCCGGGGCGGAGGTGGCCCCCGAGGGGAGTCAAAACGACAGCAGGGGGATGGCAGCTGTGGTGTCGCACCCCCTTCCTGGGGTGAAAGATGGTTCTTGGGGTGTGCGAGGCTCCGCCGCCGGCCCCGGTGGCGCCCCCAAAGCTTCCAGTGGAATGTCAACGAGGTGCTTTTTGAGTACAGCAGCATCCGGAAGGCTCGCATGGCTCTGCGGCGGCGCTGGGAGCAGGTTTTCCGATGAGTAGGGCGAGGAGGGCGAGGCCGCTGGGAGGTTCCCAGCTGACCCCATCTGGGGGGCAGCCTCCAAGCTGCCCCTTCCTCTTCCTCATCTTCATCCTCATCGTCCTCTTCTTCCTCCTCCTCTTCACTAGCTGACGCATCAAAAGAGGGCCGAGGGACAGGGAGGCGTCTGGCTGGCACTGTGGTCCCTGACCCAGGATCTGGCCCAAACCCTCCACCTGATTTAAGTCGGGGTTTAGGGGGTGGGGGCCAACGAAGACGCTCCCGCCTGGGACTTGAGTAAGCCGGGGCCACGCCAGGTCCAGGAGGCTCAGGCCCCCAAGACCCGGTCCCTTGTATAGTCTCTTTCATCTTCCGGTAGCCTGTAAAACAATGGTTAGAGTGTCAGAATGCAAACACCCCGCACCCCAGATCCTGCCTCTCTTCCTCAGCACGCCTCCTCTGGAATCAGATACAAATAACCTAAGAAAAGAGGAAAAAACCCTAAAAACCACGAATTTCTCCGATCTTTTCGTTACCAAGACCAGTCTTCAGAGTCCATGCCCCCATCTCTCCCCCGACCACAGAGGAGCAAGGGAGAATGGCTAAGCAGCAGGATCTCATTTCTCGGACCCCCAGGTTAAAGCCACTGTTGTCAGTATTTAATGCCACCAGGAGTACCCTAATTGAGAACCTAGTAAGGGCAATGGCTCAGCAGGAGACTCCTGACAGGATACAGAGATACCCGAGGACTGCTGGGAAACCGGGGTCTAGAGGTGGGGAGTTTCACCACCTCGGAATGAATGGGGTGGGAGGCACGGGGCATGCTCAGGTCGTCTCAGGAGGGAATGGGGATCCCAGGGCTACGGTTCAGGTAGTAAAATCTAACGAAAACGGAAGAATGTTAAGGCAGTGGGAAACTGAAACAGAACCAACCGGTGTCAGTCAAGCCGCTGGGACAGAACTTGTGTGAGCTGGCCCAGCCCCTCCTGCTCCACCCCGGGGGGCCAGAATGTCCCACACCGGTTTGTTCAGACAAGGTTCTGAGGCCTGGCGCCTGAAGGGCCCGAAAGACTCCCCTGGAGGGCCTCCCAGGTTTGGTGGTGGGAGATCCCAGGAATGGGAGGCCGCGGGGCTGGGGAAGGGCATGTCCTCACCGGGAGCGGGGAAGCCGGGCGGACGGGCCGAGGCAGGGCGTCTCCAAGCCTCAAGCTTCCCGGCTCATCTCTCCATGCATCTATGGTGGCCCCGCCACTCCTGCTGTCTTCAGGCGCAGCCTCTCAATTCAGGATTCCAACGCTTCTGGGCCGCGCGCCGCCGCCGAGCCGCCCCGCGGCCGCCGCCGGCCTTATGCTCCCAGCCTCCAGCTCCACCTCCACCACCTCCCCTCCTCCTTCTCCTCCTTCCCTCCCATGAGCCCCAGGCCCACTGGGAGGCTGGCGGCACGATATTCAGCACGTCACAGCGCCGGCGCGAACAGCCGCTTCTGCCAGCGCGCCTCCCAACCTGCCTACCCCGAACGTAGACGCCACCCCAAACCCGCCCCGGAGCTGCGCCTGCCGCAGGCTGGTGCTCCAGCCTGGCACGCTGGCTGCCTCGTTCCCGCTTTGCGCGACGGCTATCGCCCGTCCCCCACTGCGTGTCCCGCTGCGTAGCGCCTCGGCGCTGGGGCCCGGGAACCTCGGTACTGGTCCGGCGGCGCGCCGGCGGACAGCCGGGAGGGCCGGGAGATCCCGGTACAGGGACGGCAGGCAAGGCAGCGGGGAAGTGGAAGTCGTTTACCTCTATTTAAGTTTAAGCGGGTCTTGAGCAGCTAGCTCAGGTGAGGAAGACGTGGGCAGATTTACCCGAGGCTGCCTGGCGACCCGTCCCAGCCCCAAGAGGCTTGGAGGCCCGTCACATAGGGAAGGGAGGGCAGGAAAGGTGGCACCTGGCACCGTAGGGTGGTGTGTCTGACTCGTCAAAAGGACTATGTCGTCGGACACTCTCCCCCACAGAGACGGGCACTGGGAACACACCCCTGGAGATAGTGATGGAGCTGAGCCAGCCCGTTGGTGGAGAGGGAGGTGAGGGCAGGCTTCTTGTGAGGAGGCAAGCGGTACCAGGAGAGGTGTGGCGTGGGGAACCGTGGAGTTTCCCGAGTGAGGGAGAGGCTGTGACTTCTGCCAGCAGGCAGGCTGCTTCTCAAGCTGCCGCTAGATGGTGCTGTTCTGGAAAGCATTCCAGTGGGACTTAAAGTAGGTCTCACTGGGCCTGGCACTGCCCCCCCCCCCCCCCCACCCCAAGAATGGGCTGGGACGAGAGCAAGAATTACACTTCTTTAATAACTTGAAGTCGAAGTCCAGGATGGGGCGGAAGGGGCTTAGGGAAAAAGGGAGGCACGAGTGAGTCCTCAAACCCAGGGTTCCAGCCAACCCTAGAAGAGGCCTCTCTGTTCCTGTTAGCTTTGGCTGCCCTCCAGCGTCCCCCACCCTGCCTCTTCCGACAGCTTGAGACCACCCAAACCACAAGCTCACATAAATCTGGTTTCAGGAAGGTTCCAGATGGCAGAGGCCAAGCACTTCCCTTCCCTGGGATTGTGACACTCAGAATATCCCCTTGGTGTGGGTGGAAGACACCTGAGAGGGGAGAGAAGAGATGCTCAGTGAGGTCACGTGGTCACGCATGGAATGACGTCTCCCTCCCTTCTCCAGCTCAACCTCTGCGCTTTTCGTCTTTCTGATTCAGCCTCTGCACTATGTCCTTCATTCAACCCTGCCGGAGCCACCTCTCAAGGCTTTAGCCACCTCACCCCCCCCCCATACACGGTAAGGTCAGAGACCCTGTGCTTCCTTCTCACATCCTCCCCTCACATGGGCTGCCCCACCTGCACTAGCAACAGTTATTGTAGGCCCAGTCGGTTGGAAGGCACCTTGTGCATACTGTAGCGGTTGAATAGCGTCTCTGCCTTCCCGGCCCTCTGGACACACACCTGACCCATGGTGAAAGTCACATGGGTGGAACAGACTCCAGCAGGGAACGTGAGGAGAAATGAGATGGCTCAGTGCTGGGAGGCCTCGGAGCCTGACAAGAGGAGCCAGGAAGGAAGAGGTCTTCAAGTTTGTATGAACAGAAGGGTCGGAATTCTCAGTAGCAGGACTTACTGCCTGAACAGACTGCCTTTCGGCCCCCCCATGGCGTAGGGTATGTTTGGGATTACCTGCTGGCAGCAGATAAACTCCAGTGTCCCAGACTGAACAACGATCTCCAGGCTTCCCAGAGCTGGTTGCCAGATCACCTCTGTCACATCAGCAGAGTCCTCTGGGTCATCAGGAGTGGGGTAGTCAGGATCTCCCTGGGTGCTTAGACACTCTTTCGCCCAGCAGGAGTCCTTGGGCCCCAGGTGCCAGCCCCCCAGTTCCCCAACCCGCCCCTCCCCAAAAGCCGTTGCTCTGGTCGAAACTGCTCACCTTAGAGGTGATGGGGACAAGGTGCAGCTGACAGTGCTTCTGAGGAGAGGGAATCTGAGCAGTGCCTCTGCCCAGCCTGTGCTCAGCCCCTCCACCTCACCTGCTGCAGATACCTGTCCCAGATCCATGCGTGCTGGATCACCTCCCACCCCGCTGCACCCTCGAGGCTCCCACTTCTTCTGTTTATGGGTGAGCACTGCTCTTCTCCGACCTCCCATTCTCCCAGGCTTCCAGGCTCAGGGCTCCTGCTTACCGGAAAGAGGGTCGGGGTTAGGCAGATGCAGTCCCAGGCAGCCTCTTCCCAGCCCGCCCCCTCCGCCCCAGGAGAGTGCCTCACATTTCACATGCACTTTTCCCCAGCAACCTTGAGCTGTCCCTCCAGGACTAGGTACGAGAAGATGCCCTTAACACTTCTCCTGGAATACAAGCCCTCCCTGACCTCTCCAAACCTGTGACCCTCTCTCTTAAATTTTGCAACTCACTCAAACTTCATGGGTCAGACCGAGAGGAACCAAGAGGCCTTTTTTTGTCCTGACTGCCATCCACCTTTCTGACAGCCCCCCAACTCTTCACCACCTGCTCGGAGGGCTTGGCCACGGATGACCTTCCTCGCAGGGCTCTCCAGTCCTCTCTGCAGCCGAGCCCTCCAGATTTTGCAATTTGCTTGGCAGAGCCGGGCTGGCCATGGCACATGGCTCAGGAGAGCCCCACCCAACCAGAGGGCGACTGAGAGCGCCGGCCTCTCTCGGCCGGCCCTGCTCTCTTTCGGTACCTCTTGGTTGGCATGAAGGAGCCGCGAGGTCATGAAGAGCTGGGAACTAAGAGAGCAGTGGGAGTGGGGTGGCGAGGAGGTGGTGGGGAGGGTGGGGGGTGGGAAGAAGGGAAGGTGTTACGCAAGGGAGAAATAAAAAGGAACTTGAGAATAAAAAGGAAGGAGGAGGAAAACCGGCTAGGGGCACTGCTGGAGCTCCTGGCACCCCACTGCGGGGCCGGTGGCGTCTTGAGACACGCTCCCCCGCCCCCCTCCCCCCCACACCCTTCTCCAGCCTCAGGAGAATTCGGTGACAATCTGTCTAGGAAGGACGGGACTGCCAGTGACACCCAGGAAGCAGCCCGAGCACGGGAACCCTGGGAGGGCCCCAGGAGTGGGGGAGGGAAGGTCGGCTGCCCCGGGGCACAGTGCCAAGAGCAGGGATGGAGGCACAAGCTGGGCAGCTTGGGGGTCAAGGGGTGAGGGTGGGAGACCCTCTGGCTGAGCCACGGGAGAGGTCTCTGGGCAAGTTGGCTGGGAACGACTGAACGTGCAAAAGGAGGGGAGGGGGCGGATGGGGAGGAGAACCAGGGTCGCGGAAGCCAGAAACTGGCCGGGTTCTGGGGTTAGGGCCAGGCCGGGTGTGTTGGAATAAGGCCTGCACTACTCCCTGTGCTGAACTTGGCAAGCAGGACTTCCTGTTTCCCGAGAAAAGCTCTTACATAAGGCTCTGGTCAAAGAGAGAAAGAGACAGCCCCGAGCACCCTACCGCTGGAAGGTTCCTCCCCTGGACCCAGGCCCCCCCACTCCCCTGGCCGGCCGCATCCTGCTTCCTGACCCCGAGCTCCCCTGCGAGCCTGCTCCCCACCCCACATCCAGGCCAGGGCTTGGGCCCGCACCTGCTGAATGTCCAGAGGCTCCCGCTCCTCCCAGCCAGGGATCACCCTGGGGAGGAAGCCCGCCTCCTAGGTAAATGAGGCGGCTTCTGCTGGACCTTGGGCAGAGGATTGATTTTTTTTCCTGGCAGTTTGCCTTTTGACTCTCTGTTCATGCCTCAGGGGTCAGAAGCATGTGGGTCCCCATTCCCGAGCCTGTACATTGCCCTGGAGTCCCAGCCGTCCCACACCCCACCCTTCGATGCCCAGCCCCCCTTGCCATGTCCCTCGGCTACC